CGACCTGAAACACACGACGTAATTTAGAATGACGCGTTTTGTTTTGATTGACGAAAACCGAGTGCGCTGGGCCGGGCGTGATACGGTAAATTATTTCCCTAACACACTTCTCAAAGCGTTACGAGGCCGGGCAATACGAGGTACATGGTAAATGGTACTAAATAACTGTGCGAGGACTAAAGAGACTGCAAGAGAAAGAGGATGATGGGAGAAAACATTATAATAATAACTTTATTACACAACCAAAACCATCAGAGGGTTTAGTATGGTAAAAATAACTAATAATAAAAAAATAAAATGATAAAACTAACTAAATAAAAGTAAAACATCAATAGAAAAAATAAAACTGACATTGCATAGAAAATACATTGGTTCTCTTACATAATTAAGTATTTCCATTGAATATTTTATTTTTCAAAAATTATAATGAAAAAAAGAAAGAGCAGGGGGTAATTGTACGAGTTCTGTAGAAGCTGTTGAGGTCGAAAGGAGCTGCTAGTGATAAGGAGGATAAACAGCCGGAAACAATAAAGTACGATTGGGAAGGGATCACGTGATGCCAGTCAACTGCTGCATTAATATGATTTGATTTCACAGAGCAGCATATACAATGTGCGTGCTTTGTTTCAATGACAGAAAAGCAGGGGTTAATACACGATGCCATAAGTTATGGTTTTCTAATGTGTATAATGACTGATATTTTTATATTTTTTGTGTAATGTCAAAAATACGTTGTTGAATTTTCAAATTTAAACAGTGTTAATGATTCTGCTAATTTACTAAATCAAATAACTTGGTTTTAACATAGAATGATTTCACTTTTTTGGGTAATATTGTCATTTATTTTCAAAACTACTCAAAAATAAATTCAATATTCACACAATATTACCAGATACTATTTGTTAAGATGGTTGTTAATCTGTTATAAATGCTATGTAATAAATGGGTCAATATTACACGACACGCCGGAATGTCTGAACCAGGCTATTATAAACTATTATTATATACCTAAAGCTTTTCTAATCGAGCCAATAAATGAACATCTGTTAAGTTTTGGTGACAAGATAAAACAAATAGTTCACATACATTTTATCTGCACACACACTAAAATATATTTCACTAATTATTGTCTATTGTATGTGAATATGCAATAGAAGTACCGTACTGTATTTTCTTTACTGTATTAGAATACACACTGTTTCCACATTATTCATTTTTTTCACTGACACTGGATGACGATAGTTAAAAACAAATCCTAAATGTTTCCATTGAGATATAAATATGAGAACAGAATTAATGTAAGCGTCTTTAGGTGTATTAAAAACACTCACAAGAGGCTAAACATTGATTGACACAATTATGAACGAGCACCTGGGTTCGGTCCATAAGCTGGAGATGGACTGGAAGTGGCAGTAGACAGGAGAGGAAAGGGTGGCAAATCGAATAAAGGAATGCCAGGAGGTATGGTAAGTAAAGATGGAAGCTAGGAGAAAATGGTCAGCAAGAATGGAAGGACTGCACGTGAGACGGGGAGACAATGATGGTAGGCAAGGGATTGGAAGTAGATAGGGGAGGCTGGCATGGTTCCTACGTGAAAGAAGGAATTGGAGAGGCCATATACGCACGGGAAGACCATGGGATTTGAAAAAAAGGTGGGAGGTCGGTAGGGACTACAAGCAAATGAGGATTGTGGAAAGAGACCATTAGTATGAGAAGGAGATCAGAAAGTACAGTGGGCAATTGTGTGCGGTCGGAATGAGCTGCTAGTGAGAGGTGAAAATAAACAGGGTCGGAAACAATACAGTAAATTTGAGAGCGACCACAAGTAAGATAATAGGAGATAACTGATGCATTTTTAATCTTTATTTTACAGAGCAACATGTCCACAGTGCGTTCTTTGTTTCAATAATATGTTGAAATAACGGCGGGAGTTAACACACTATGTCATAATT